ATGTCCAACCAATTCAGTATTTAGCCAACGTAAGATAAAAACTGTACTGTATTAAAAATCGTATGAGCTCTCGTAAGTGACCGACATGTAAGGGCGGGCCAACCAAGGATCCACAACGCTTTTCCCCCTTCCCTTAAGTCTAACCTTGGCCGCCAAGTTGGTTACCTCGCCAAACTTTATGCCATATTACAAGTTTGCTGAGGATACATGTCTTGGGCATTGTGTATGCGTCGTCCTCTCGACAGTGCAGAGCCTCTACAACGTACCGTAAACGATTTTACAGGACTTCGAGTTCCTTGAACAACTTCTCTTCTTCAAGAGGAATTTAAAAATTCCTGTTAAAGAAGAAAATTAAAAATTACCAGAAACTTGTTTAACATATTCACAGTATTCACGCGTGGGTTGAAGAATGATGGATAATATACATGCCAACGGCGGTTCCTCAAGGAATGTGGATATCCTTACCGGAGAATTACGTGCACAAAGAACACATATTGCGTCTCCAGATTCAAGACGAAGTTGTATGGCAAGGGAGAAGTCGACGACCTTGACCAGTAGCGATGATGCCCCGTATGGAGAGTATCGTGAATAAGAATCATTGCAGTAAGAAGTGTAATTGGTCTGGACTTCTAATTAGTCTGGATTCCCAGTTAGTCTGGTCCAGACTAGTTACACTTCTTACTGTAGCTCCATTGAGTACATACTTGAAGCTGACTCAGCTTCAAATGTCTGCACAGTGGCGCAAATCATCGCTTTCGCAGTTCATACAGTACGAGCTAGAAGAGGTATATTGTTGTCTTAATTGCCGGCACGAGACAGCCTCAGGGAGCTGGAACGTCTTGTGTTATTCATATATCCAGAAGTGTATGCAATGAAAGCCGTGGATAAAATCGCATTCGCCACACTACATTTACACTTCCTCTTACGACACTATCACAACTGCTACACTCACGCTACAATTCCATTAAAGTCCAGGGCGTGAGCGATCACTGCTGCTGTGTGGTATCGGTCGAATTAAGAGAGCCTGCAGCCGACTGAATAGCACTTTTCTCCGACTTCACTCTCTCCTTGGCGGCCTTCCGTTCGGCCTTCTGTTGTGCCTTAATCCTTCGCCACTCAGCCTTCATGGCGTCGCGCTGCGCCTTGCGCTCATCCTGTGCCTTGTGTCGAGCCTCCTTTGCTGCCTCTCTCTGAGCCTTCGTCATCTTAGCGGCGGCATTTTCATCATCGTCGGAGTCGTCATCTTGCTTGACATTACCACTGGAAGACGACGCTCCCTCGCTGGAAGACGATGCTTTCTGAGTGACATCGTCGCTTGAGGACAAGGTGCCCTGAGTGACGTCGTCGCTAGTCGACGGCTCACTTTCCTTATTTGACTTTTTGTAGGACGAATTGGAGCTATCCTCTGTCTTGCCGCTGGAAGAGGTAGCAGAACTAGTATCCGTCTCATCACTGGAAGAGGCAGCCGCACTGCTATCGTGCTCACTGCTCGAAGTGGTAGCTGGGCTGTTCTCCGTCTCGCTGTTCGACGACGAGGGTGTGCTTGATTCTATCTCTCCGCTTTCCGTTTCACCGCCTCCGGACGAGGGCGCAGTCTCCTTCTTCTTTGTTTTCGAGGCTGTACTGCTTTCGGTTTGCTCAGTCTCGTCACTAGCGCTGTCAGTGGCGCCGGCGAAGGGTTTTACGGTACCAGCATCGTCGGAGCCCATGTCTTCTAAATCCGAAAACGTTTCCGACACTGGGGCTTTGGTCGCCGTTACCTCGGAGGAACTAGCCGAACTGTCATAAGCAGAAGACGCGGATGTACTGGTGGAAGTCACTTGAACCAACGCACGTGAAATGACGCTTGCGTCTGAATTGGAGACGCACGCAACCAGCGCAGCGAAAACTGCGACCCGCAAGAAATTCAAAGCTACCATGAAGATAAGAACGACGTCAATAATCCGTCGTAGATTAGAAAGTGAAATCGCTGCACATGGAGGTGGAAAGAACGTCTAGCGAATGCTGTTGTATCGACGATACACATGGTCCCTCCCTCCACCAGCGTGGAATTGTGAATATCTTGAGATGGGATTTGTGCCGCAAACCATAGGAATTTTGTATGCAATAATCAGCGAGCGCAACTTGCGACTTCCAAGCGGGTGGGATTCGAGAATTCAGTTCCTCCATCGTCGCTTTATCGCTTTACAGTAGATCAACGCGTGAAAATTGAGAACTTCACGGACAGCTCTGCGTTTTCTGGTTAGTTTAAGTTCTTTAGGTATTGTTCACATTACTTCGAGAGCCTTGATTTTTTTTAATTGGGAAAGTTAGTGTTGCACGGTTGTTCTTGTTCTTTGGATATGTGGGCAGCAAGCATAAGCAGATCATCGAGATGTGCGCCCTCGCGGCTCACAAACCGTGAGCTCACGCTTCGGCCAGTGCTCACCATCTCGTTGTGTACACTTCCGACACGAGCCCTGCCGTTCATGCACCAAAAGTTTTGATAGTGTACAATCTTTTAGCTTGCCTTCTTGAAGAAGTTTTTCGGAGGAGGCGTGATCATTGATCACCGATCGACGGACAGTCAATGACCTTTAAAATTAAACCTCGAATGGAGCTCTGATTGAGTGCGACGTATCAAGATGGAGATTGTGTGAGTCGAGCCTTTGGATAGTAGTTACTGATTGTGTTGTTTATCTCGTTCTCAGTCGTGCAGGCTCGAGCCTTTCTGGATACCTATCGAAGTGCTTCATGTTTCAAAATACTTCGAGTACCAAGGTGCTAGTACAGCTTTGGCCGGCGCTGCGTGGAATAATTTGAAAGCAGACGTAAATATATATTGCGTGAATACCTCGGACTCTCGTTCGTGATATTATTGGGAGTTTGATTTTCAAATCCATGTATGTCAGGGCCGCCGCTACCGGTACCTGCTTTGATTCAAAGTGCTCAACG